CTGGCTTTAAAAAATCCTCCCTTTCACATGGTCCGAAATAAATGAGAATATCGGATTATGGCTGAACAAAAAATTTCTTGGCTTGAAGTCTACCGATTTTCTTTCAGCTTCCAAGACCTCAGTTTTTTCTTAGCCTGCCCAGATTGTTTGATAGCTTGTGATACACTTACTGGTCAGCCATATTTTGGGGCCTTTATTGGCGAAGTGGGAATTGTATACAAATTAAACCAATTACATTTTCCAAATGCAGCGGATATTAAATAACCAATTATTGGTAAATCGAAATCATTCTGTTCCATATTAACTTTCTGTGAGAAGCTAAGGCACTGAAGAAGTGGTCCAGGGTGCTAACAGCTGTCTGTAGCGATTTGACAAGAGTTGTCAATGACTCCCTTTTTCAAGAGTTGCTTAGAAGTAAGTTGAAGATAGTTTGGCTTTCTGGTATTTGCCAGTTTACATGGAAACGAATGAATCTATTTTAGAAGAATTGTTTTTCTTATGGATCCTTAATATGGAAGCAATAGCAAATAAAAACAGTTTATGATCCGAAATTTTTTCTATATTTTAGGTCGAAGGAGCGCTAAAAGAAAATAAAGTAAATTTACTGCCAGTAAAAGCAAAAGCTGAATCATTGGAACGAGATATCAGCGCGATAGATGAAGTTCTCGACCAGCTTGCTGCTCGTGATCTGTCGGAACCTGCTATTGCTAATGTAAGAATACTTGCATGCACATATCTTAGAATCGAACCCCATACAGTGTGACCTCGTGCTTGTCTGTTCTCTGCGCATTTAAACTTCCTCCGTTTTTTGTCGTCTACTAAGAATTTTAAACTTTCGTACATCATTGTCTTCGTTAACACTGTGTTGTTTTCCAGGCTACCCAACGTGATTTGCTGGATCGTCAGGCCCAACTGGACCAGCTACAGCGACGAAGTGATGACCTGCATAGCTGCCTACCGGAGGCATCAGCGAACCAACCAAATACAATGCTCGATAAAATACAGGATAAAGTACGCGATCTCGAGGAGAAAATTGGCGCATCAATCAGACGAAGTGCCGAGAAGTCACCATCGAAACGTATGTCCTTAACGGAGCAAAAAGAATCGGACGCGATTTCCATCGCAAGCACAGGCGGACAGTCTCTAGCATTGGAAGTACAGGTTTGTTTTCCGTATTTTTAGCTTTTACGGAACTTCAATGATGCAGGAGAAACGG